CTAAAGGCCTAAAACACCAAGCTTGTGAGGACACTTGCACTAGAAGCATGCAAAACAAGACTCAAATGCAACAACCAGCCAAAAACAGAGTTAAAACAGTCTAAAATAGAGCTTAAAACATGCTGGAATTAAGCTACAAAAGGCTAAAAAGCTACGTTAACACATAGAGCTAATTAGGCTAGCAAACAAGACACAAGGAGGGGAGGCTAACCTCTCTAAATTTGGACTTCAAAACATGATTTTAGCCACTGAAATAGCTCTGAAATTTAGTGTTTAAAAGCCCAAAAAAAGATAGTTTGATTGTGGGAAACAAAGATGGAAAGGCCTTATGAACAAGGAATAAAAAAGGGTGATTCACTCCTTAACCTTAAATGGACTATAACCACCAATTTTAGCCCACAAAAACAGCCCAAAAAACAGTGGGAAAAGATATAAAACAAGTATACAAAACAAGCTAAAAAGGTAAGTGTTATATTTCTTGAAGCAAAGATCAACTTTAGGCAACAATTCAAGCCAAAACCATCTTCTAGAGCTCCAAGAAGGCTTTAAGAAACCTTAGCTCAAAGATGATCAACTTTGGTTAAAGAGGTGTAGGCAAAAGTGTGGTGTGTATAAACTAATGTGCACAAATTTGCAAGAGAGAAAGAGAAATGTAGAGAGAGAGAGAGATTTTTGCTCCAAAAATTTCAACCCTAAAAAATGGGAGAGAAGACCCTCTATATATAGAAACAAACATGCATTTGGCTGATATAAATCCATTTATACACGTGTATGAAGATAGAGACAATTATGACCAAAATATCTGAAAATAAGCATTGATGGCCAGCAGGCCACCACCATTGGCCGATAGATACAAGGGGTGGCCGACAGCCTCAAAAAGTGGCCAGCTGACCACCAGGGGTTGCAGGCTTGAAGGTTTAGTCCAAAACAAGGCATAGAATAGACAGGGTTTGAAGTCTCAAAGACAAGGCATTTCGCCGAGGTCTTCGGACACTAAAACGAACATATGCAATCATAATCATCGGGTGTGCAACCAATGACGTCCAAATCTTGAGGACGGTCAAAAATGGGATATTTACAGTTGCCTCTCTTTGACAGAACTCGGAAGTCATGAAATGACGTGAGTGAATGTCAAAGCCTAGAGACGACCCATTTTGACAAGACCGAAAGACTTGGACAAACAAACAAGTCAGAAAATAAATGGTTGCGACCGTAGGCTGCCTACGTATCCCTTTGCAAGGAATCAAACCATTATAGTTCTAGGGCGATGCAAATGATATACATGCAAAATAGTTTAACGGTTGGACTTATACGCTTCGCGATGTCGACCATGTTGAAAACTCATGATCATGCGAGATGATGCATTTAGCAATAACAAACACGATGAGCAAGAATGTATACAATAAGTAAGATAACAACATATGAATGAGCAGCTTCAAGCTTAAAACCAACACAGGTTTTGCATACAAGAGACAAAACACACTCTAACCTTGCCAAAACAAGAGACGAGGAAAGAAAACACCACTCAGGGTTGCGTTTCACGCATCCTGAGAAACTGAGAACAAAACCACTCGGGGCCGTGTTTCACACGTCCCGAGAAACAACCACTCAGGCCCGTACTTCGTACGTCTCGAGGAACAATTCAGCCAATACAAACCGTTTCTCTCACTCTCTCATTTCCAGCAAAATAAATTTGATAGAAACTTGTTTCACCATTTTTTTTAATCATAATTCACCAAAAAAAAAATTCAATTTACCCAAAATCAGCAAAGCTTTTTTTTTTTTTTTTTTAAAAAAAAAACTTTTTAAAATTTTTTTTACAGAATCAATCAATAAATCTCAAACAAATTCAACAAATCTCAGATTCAACAAAACAATTTCAATAAATCTTAGCAAGCAATTTCACAACTTCAAATATCAGAATCTCAGAATATGAACAAAACATAAAATAATAAATACCTGGATTTGCCATTTGTTGTTCATATTCCAACAGATTTCAGCGATCATCTTCTTTGTCTTTATTTTCTTTGTGACCATCTTCATCTTCTCCATCTTTTGTGAGGGCTAGATCTGTTAGGGCTAGGGCTTTGTGATTTGTGATCTGCGATTTTGGTGGAGAAGAGGGTTAGGGCTTTTAGGACTGTGTGATATGTGAGGTAGAGAAAGATTTACGTTAAGGAGAGAGAGATATATAGAGAGAGTGAGAGAGAGATGATTGGTGATGTGTGTGTGTGTGTGTGTATGTGTGTGTGTGTATGAGAGAGAGAGAGAGAGAGACGATCGGTGAGAAAAGGGAGAAATAGAGAAACAGAGAGAGGAAGAGAGAGAAGAAGACGATCGGTGTGAAATAGAGAAAGAGAGAGAGAGGAAGACAATCAAGGAAGACGATAGGGGAAACGACCAGTGATGAGGGCAGGAAAGAGAGAGAGAGAGAGAGAGAGAGAGAGAGAGAGAGAGTTGGATGATTCGAGAGGTTGATCTCAACTGTTGGATTATATAAAGATCCAATAGTGAGGGTAGTTTCTTGGAATGTGTAACATGAGCCCCTATTTCAATCTGGAAGTAAAAAAATAATTATTTTTCCAAACAAGGCACCAACGGCTATAAATTAAATGGCTAAAAAAAAGGTCATGTTTTTGTAATAGTATAAATACACACACCTTGTTTCACCAATTTGAGTTCACAGCAAAATATTTTCAATTATATTTTTATTTTTTATTTTTCACATAATTAGTATGGAAGGTTCATCAAAAATAAAGAGAGGAAAATCATTCACAAGATGTGGTAATTTGTAGAGCTTGGTGTCACATTACTGAAGACCCAATTGTTGAAAATTCGCAATCTCATGCTCATTTTTGGGGAAGAATTTTTTAAAATTACTGCTCGCTGCAGAATGATCACTCAAGAACACAAGTGTTTATCTTATCTCGATGGGGTGTAATCATGAAACGCTATAAAAAATTTCTTAGGTGTTTAGCGTAAGTTGAAAATCTACACCTAAGTGGGATGTCTCAAGTTTTTTATAGTAAAATTTCATCTTCATTTATTATGTTCGTTTTATTTATTTATTTTGTCTCATATAAAAATTAACTAATTTAATATTTTATTGATACAGATGCTTCAATCAAAACTTTTATACCATCAAGATGAAAACAAACATTTTGCTTTTAAACATTATTGGCCAATCTTGCAAAACAATATTAGGTGGTAAGATATAACTCCTACGAACACAGTGAAATCAATGATATATATATCGTTTTTCCCTAATTCTGCCCTGAATCCTCTATGGATAACTGCATTTCTCTTGAAGACGACAATAGTCCAAGTGTTGGTAACAATCCAAGTGTTGGTAACAATCTAACTATTGGTAATAATCCAATCGGTGATGGTAGTGTCTCTACAATGGGTAAAAGGCCTATGGGTAGGAAATTTGCAAAAGAATTGCTTCGAAAAAGTGAAGCTGTTCAAGCTGAAGTCAACAAATATTACAATTTGTTTTAGATATTTAATCAACACCTTGCTGAGAAGGAAATAAAAAAAGTTGAAAGAGAAGAAAAAAGAATTCAAACATTGTAGGAGATGAAAGAACTAGAGATAAAAAAAGAAGAACATTTTGCAAGAGATGAGAGAACTTGAGATAAAAAAGGAAAAACGTTGATAATGACTATAGACATTTCTCATTTGGACCCTCAGACGAAAGCATATTACATAATGCGCAAAAATAAGATTTTTTCCAAGTGGTCGGCACATGTCAGCAACCCAAATTACTATTTTCTTCTGCCTCCTGATGAATAATTACGGAAGAATGTATTTTTTAATTTTGCAATGTCATTTAACTTTCAATGTTATTTTGAGTATTTTATATTTAAATTTACGAGTGAATTATATTTAATTTTTTTTTAGAAATTTTTAATTTTTTTAATTTTTCTAGTTGGGTATAATGTAAATATATAATTTTTTTTACAAACAGTTGAAAAAAGGTCACAAAAGACAAAAAAAATAAATAAAAAAAATAAAAAAATCACTAAAAAATCTATATCCAAACAACACCTACAAACTTAAAGGAAAAGTTGGTTGAGATTTGCTAAAATAACATGTGACTATTGGAGCACTATTGCTATAATTTGGCAAAATAACACTATACCTTGCCAAATCCTAGCAATAACAATTCTAGCAATAACAATTGAGTGTGTTTGGTTTAAGTTTTTTGAATTAAATTTTTTGAAAACTGAGTGTTTGGTTTTCGTATTTTTTGTTTTTAGTGAATATTTTTAAAATTTTAAACATTTTTTTTACTTTTTTAATGCACCTTACTTAGATGTATTTAAAGAGTAAAAAATTTGTGAAAAAATATTTTAAAAAATTAATAAATACATAAAAATACAAAAAATGTACTGAGTTTTCGTATTTTTTTTTCTATATTTTTGGTATTTAGTGAATTTTTAAAAGGTTTTTTCACAAATTTTTTATTTTTTAGGTATATTTATGTTAGGTATGTCTAAAAATAAAAAAAAAATTGTTTAAAATATTAAAAAATTTAGTAAAAACAAAAAGATACGAAAAACAAAAAAGTAAAATTTTTTAAAAAGTATTTTTGTAAAACTCTAACCAAACAAAGTGAATTATTTTAACAAACACCATTGAAGAGTTCGTGCTTGATGGAAAAAATATTCAATACCAATAACGTGTCCAGTACTCACATATATAATAGTACAGCATTATTATTCATTTTTTTAATATATTACCGGTTTAGAAAGTGAATTTAAAAAGTAAATTTATATCATTTTTCATAATAGTATATATAGATGCACTTCCACTAGCATATTAGATTCGTTGTACAGTACCCATTTATAGAATTGTTGCTCTTGCATTTGTGCTCCCACTAGTTTATGCTTGACCGAAAAGACATCCAATGTCAATGACATAGGAAATTGTTGGCATGCTTTCTTTTGTTATATATATATACCTAAATGATATGGTAGGTACGTATGTTCGTTGATCCTTAATAGTTGGAAAGAGGAGAGTGTTGCAAGTAAGAAAGAACTAATAATAATGGCAATGGCTGCTCAATTTAAAGATACAGAGAATATTGACATAGACAAACTGACAAAATTAGTTGCAGTGAATGCGGGGGAGTTTAGTTCTAGTATCGAAAAAAAAGATTGGGATAGGGCTCTGGAAATATACGAGTCGTGTGATCATCAAGAAAGAGAAGATTTGCTACGTATGAAGATCACTCGTTCAGGGGGTACAGCTTTACACAAGGTTTTACGTATGACTCTCAAGGACGAAAAGAAAGGCAACGCTGCTGCGACTTTCCTAAACATAAAAGACAGCGCAGCGACTTTCCAAAGCAAAAAAGAGAAGGCTGCGAGTTTCGAAAAGAAGAAAAAGATTGTGATGAAGCTGGTTGAGGGGTTGCAGTTTGTTAACCTGAAGGATTTAGCTGATGACAGAATGAACACTCCTCTCCATCTGGCAGCTACAATGGAGGGCCAGCAAGAAATATGCGTGGAAATGGCTTTTAATCGACCTGATGGTATCGGTCTACGCAACGAAGAAGGCGAGACTCCTCTCTTCTTGGCAGCTCTCTATGGTTATTCTAAAGATTCCTTCATTAATCTCTGCGAGATCTGCTGCAATAATGATCCCGATTCCGGCCTCACCAAAATCTACGAATATGGCAGAAGGAGCAACGATGACAGCACTGTTCTTCACTGTGCCATCAATGAAGAGTACTTTGGTAATTAATCATATACGTGTACATATTTCAAACTTTGATATTTTTTGTGAGAGACGCTGTGAAATAATTTAATTTAATTTAATTTTTAGTTATATAGATATGTTAATTCATGTTTGGCAGATTTGGCACTTGAAATAGTTCATCGGTTTCCAGAGTTTGTACACCATCTTGATCAGAAAGGATATTCACCTCTCCATCTTTTAGCCACGAAGGCCACTGCATTCAAAAGTAGTTGTCCCCGAACTTGGCTGCAAGATACCATTTATCGCTGTAAGCATCCCTGCCAACCCGAAACTCAAATCCTAATCAATCAATTGATTAATGAAATACTAAATAATTGTTCCCTTTATCATAGTAATTCGCAATTGGGAAATACTATATAAATTAGCAAAATTAAACTATCAAAATTTGAGGAGGAGATTATTATTGGGGAAGGGTATTAGATGCTTATAATATTGCTATCGTTGGATAGGAGCAGCGTAATAAATTTAATTAATTTTTAATTTTTTTTTAATTTTTTAATTTTTTTTTTTTTACAAGGTTTACCAGAAAATATTTTGAAGTGGACAAAAGATCGTGTGCGTTATTACAAGTCCAAAACCACTGATCCAGAAGGTAAGTATATTTGAATTTTGTTACCATTGAAACAGAGGAATAAGCACAATTATTTATTTCATTCCGGATTTTAAAAAGTCACGTATGTAGGCTAAGAACAAATCTTGTAGACGATCCCAATATTTTCCTTAAGATTACAAATTTTCGCCCATTGAAGATTAAAACTTCTTTCAATCGCTTGATTTGAACCCATGCAATCATTTCCTTCTTTTATTATTCCATTTGTCCCAAATTCTTGGTCCACTTTCACTACTCTGCATATCCCAAAAAGCAGTATATATTTTTTAATTTGTCCTTTTTTCAATGATTTTGAAGATTTTTTTTCTATAAGAATTAAATGGATCTTTTCATTTGTGAATTTTTTTTTAACGAAAATATATTATTTATTGACTAAATTAAAGGGTACAAAGGATTGCAACATCAGACAAAATCATTCTTATTATTGTGATATTTTAATTTTTATATATCAATTGGAATATCGTATGTCATAAGAGTCATATATGAGAATATAGGATTACAATGAGTAAAAAAAATAAAGGATTAGCACGGAATTAAATTATTTATTACTCTTATATGGTTAGGTGTTTGGAAGACAGTGAAGTGTTTCCTTGAACCGATAGTGGTGATTCTAGAGATGAAAGAAAAGCACAGGAATTCTATTGAGATCATGAATATGCTTCTCTCGGAACTTCTATCACATAATTATTTGAATGGATGCAAGCCCGAAACAAACTATAAAGGTAATCTTTGTCCCAGTTGTTCCTTTCCCTTCTGTCTAGATCTCTATTTTATTTTTGCACAACAATAATCATGTCATTGATGTGGCGATATCGCTAAAATTTTGTGCCAGATAGCCAAGTTTCCTCGGAAAGCAGACAAAAGAACAAAACAAGAACGAGGTACTTGCTGTTAGCTCCATGCCCACTATGGATAGTGGAAGAGGTTAGGTAATGGTGACTCTCTCACTTCACCAACCCACTCATTAGTGTAATAAGCCCACTCACTAGTGGAAGTGGTAGGTGGTGACCAATTATGCTCTCCCTCATTTGTGTATAAATGAGGTGAGAATGAGGGGCTGAATAAGGTGAAGAGTGTAGAGTTCAAAATACAGAGAGTAGATAGTGTAATCTGTGAGTGAAAGAGTTCTACAAAGAGTTATGAGGTGTGAGTTTTGTAATCTCTTTCTGGGATAATTCAATAGTGGATATCTCTCTCCGTGGACGTAGGTAATTGCCGAACCACGTACATATCTATGTGTGTGATTGATTTCCGAAGTACGCTCCAATTGTGATTTTTTCATGTAAAATCATTGTGTCAATTTGTTATGATTGTTTGATTGGGATTGTTATTTATTACTTAAATTGATACATAACCACAAATCAACATCTAGGAGATTTTTAGATTTTTCATCGATGAAATTAATTTTTTATACAAGTAACCTTCATTGTAAGGCTTACAAAATAAAATGGGACTCTAAATTAAGACCCACATGAGGATTAGATAGATAGAGGGAGATGAAGGAATAGAGGACCTCATCCTATGATCCGAGTAGTCTTTGGTGACTTGAAGGATGCGAATGTGTTGCAGCAATGCTCGGCACGTGGGTATAAGGATTTGTTGGACTCATTTTTGAATCTTTCTTTAATCGATTTTTAATTTCTTTATGATCGTTTTTAATTGACATTTATTTTTTATTTATTTGTCAAAACTGAGTTTTGTCCCAAAAAAAAAATCCATTCCGTTTTACATCTTGAAAAGCATATGAACAAAACAACAAAAATGTCAGTAATGAATAAGAAAGTCAATGGGTAATAAAATACCAGTAAGTAATGCTATAAAACCGAATGAATTACACATCAACTACGTACAACAGAGATACCACACATTTGTTAGCTCCGTTAGCTCCATGCCCACTATGGATAGTGGAAGAGGTTAGGTAATGGTGGCTCTCTCACTTCACCAACCCACTGATTAGTGGATAAGCCCACTCACTAGTGGAAGTGGTAGGTGGTGACCAATTAGGCTCTCCCTCATTTGTGTATAAATGAGGTGAGAATTAGAGGCTGAATAACGTGAAGAGTGTAGAGTTGAAAATACAGAGAGTAGATAGTGTAATCTATGAGTGAGAGAGTTCTACAGAGAATTATGAGGTGTGAGTTTTGTAATCTCTCTCTGAGATAGTTCAATAGTGGATATCTCTCTCCGTGGACGTAGGCAATTGCCGAACCACGTACATATCTGTGTGTGTGATTGATTTCCGGAGTACCTTAATCCTAACAAGTGGTATCGAGCCTCATCAGTCGATTTTTCGAAAAAACAGGGTCTGTTTTTCGAAACTGTTAGAAATCAAGTTGCTTGAAAGTCACTTTTGAGCATACTAGGAAAAAGGTCTCGATGAGAGGATCCAGAACTGCAAAGCAGAGCCCAAGAGGAGTAACTACGCGCCCTCACGCACCCTCTGAAGAAAGCGCGTGAAGCCCAGTCTCATACATACGCTTCATGCGCTGTTGACCTTGCCGGCACGTTAGCCCAGTCTCAGGCACACGCCTGATGCGTGACGGAAGTAAGAAGACGAGTGATGCAGCGCCACATCCGCGTCGCGTCACTGACATGTCAATAACACGTGTCTGTCATGTCAGCGACACGTGTTTACCACGTCAGCTTCGTCGACCGCGCCGAAGCCGAGCCGCTGAGCCGAAGCCTTGCCAGAGTCGTGTCACTGACCAAGCCGTGTTGATCGAGCTGTTGACGTCAGCCAAACTGGATAAATTATCCGGTGCTTCTCAGCGCACCAGATTTCACCAATCTGAACCGTTCAACTTGTTTTTGGCTTGATCTGAGCTATTCTGAGTCCGTTTTTGACAATCCAATAGTGCTTTCCAACTATTTAGAGTATTCCGGACACATTCATACGGTCAGATTTTTGAATTGAAGTTTTTTGTAAAAAGAAAGAAGACGATGGATCAACTTCAGGATCGATGATCAAGTTGAATCCTTCCAATTATGCAATCTGGAAGTCACGGATGGAAGACATCCTGTATTATAAGGACCTGTTTGACCCTACTTTTCTAAAAGGGGTTAAACCAGAAGTAGTGAAGGATGATGACTGGATAAAGATGAACTGTAAGACTATCGGTTATATCAGACAATGGATAGACCATAGTGTGTTCCATCATGTTGCCCAGGAGACAGATGCCTATGATCTTTGGACAATGTCAGACAACATGTACCAGTCGAAGACTGCTCGGAACAAAGCCTTGGTGATGAGAATGCTTATAAATCTGAAGTTGAAGAATGGTGTGTTTGTCGCTGAGCACACCAGTGAATTCAAAAACTTGGTGAATCAACTTGCAACTGTCAAGATGCCCGTGGACGATAAAATGCAAGCTGTACTACTACTCAGTTCTTTACTGGACAGCTGGGAGACGTTGGTGGCTTTTCTTTGCAACTCTACACCAGAAGAGAAGCTGAACATGAGCATGGTCACAGATGCCATGTACAATGAAGAGACAAAGAAGAAAGACATGGAAGGTAATCAGTCCCATGCTCTTGTCACAGAAGATAGAGGCAGAGACAGAGGAAGAAGTAAGAGTAGAAGCAGCTGGAACAACATGAGTAAATCTAGAGACAACAAAGGTCGAGGTAACTCTAGCTTCACTTGTTTTCACTGTGGCCAGGAGGGTCACATAAAGAGGAACTGCCCAAGCCGGAAAGATAAAGGCCAAAGCAGTAAATCAAAGGGAGATGAGAACACGACAGCCACAACAACTGATGAAATACTTCTTGCAGTTGGTGAAGAGGTGGATTGCTATCACGTGGCTGACCACAGCTACACAGAATGGCTGATAGACACAGCTGCATCCTATCACGCCACTTCCTATAGAGAACTTTTTAGCTCGTACAACGCTGGAGATTTTGGCACTGTTCGAATGGGGAATTCTAGCTATTCGAAGATTGTGGGTATTGGAGACATTAGTATTCAGACTAATGTCGGGCACAAGCTGGTTCTCAAAGATGTGAGGCTTGTTCTAAATTTACGTCTCAATCTTATCTCCAGAAGCACCTTGGACTGATAGGGCTATGCAACTACTTTCGCAAATGGCTGTTGGAAGCTGACAGGAGGAACTTTGACAATCGCCAAAGGAGAGATGTCTTCAACACTGTATAAGACTCAAACGAAGATCTGTTTAGAAAGTCTGAATGCAGCAGAAGACAAAGAATCACCGGACTTATGGCACAGAATACTGGCTCACATGAGTAAGAAGGGATTGCATCTGTTGGCAAAGCAATCCAGGATACCCCTATCTAAAGGGAGTGCCTTGAAGCCGTGTGATCATTACCTTTATGGCAAGAAACATCGAGTATCATTCAGTTTAACGAGCAAGAGAAAAACAGAAGTGCTCAGTATGGTATACTCGGATGTTTGTGACCCAATCGAAGTGGAGTCACTTGGCGGCCGCAAATATTTTCTAACTTTCATTGATGATGCACCAGGGAAATTGTGGGTGTATTTCCTGAAGACAAAGGATGAGGTATTTCAACACTTTCAAAAGGTCCATGCAATGGTGGAAAGAGAGACCGGAAAGAAGTTGAAGTGTTTTCGCACAGACAATGGAGGCGAATACACTTCCCCTACTTTTGCAGCATATTGTGCCAGCAAAGGTATTCGGAATGAGACAATAGTTCCCGGTACCCCACAACACAATGGTGTGGTAGAGAGGATGAACCGCACTTTTATTGAAAGAGTTAGATGCATGCTCAGAATGACAAAGTTTCCAAAGCCATTCTGGACTGAAGCCGCTTGTACAACCTGTTATCTCATCAACTGGTCGCCTTCAGTCCCGTTGAATTCTGTGATACCTGAGGAAGTCTGGTCCAGAAGAAAGGTATCATATTCTCTCTTGAGAGTCTTCAGGTGTAAGGTGTTTGCACACATCTCTAAGGAAAACAGACAAAAGCTTGATGACAAGTCCACTCCATACATATTTGTAGGCTACTCAGGTGCAGCATTTGGGTACAAGTTGTGGGACCCAGTGAACAAGAAGATGTTCAGGAGTAGAGATGTTATGTTCCAGGAAAACCAAACAGTAGCAGATTTTGAGAAGTCTGCAAAGTCTAGAGATGTTATCACTGTAGACTAGTTCCCATCTCCCGAGCCATCATAAAATGCTAGATGTGATAATGTGCAACAAGAAGTGCCAGAGTTGCAGGATCCTATGCCAAAAATTGAGGATCAAGAGGAAAGAGATGAAGACCCAGATGAAGAGGGTGTTGAGCAGGGGGGAGCAACCCCCTTAACCAGAGGCAACTGGGCCTCAGTTACGAAGATTTGAAAGAGCTGTCATGCCATCAACCAAATATCCCGCTTCTCAGTATATTCTGATTACTGATAAGGGGGAGCCCCGGAAGCAAAGAGTCATATAGAGAAAGACTGTTGGATACAAACCATGAAAGAAGAGATGCGTTCTTTGCAAAAGAACCACACTTATGAGTTTGTTCCACTTCCAAGAGGCAAGAGAGCCTTGAAGAACAAATGGGTTTATAAGTTGAAGAAAGATGGCAACGGTAAACTATTGTAACATAAAGCTCGTTTGGTGGTCAAAGGCTTTGGACAGAATAAAGGAATTGACTTTGATGAGATCTTCTCCCTAGTTGTGAAGATGACTTCCATTCGAGTAGCTCTGGGATTAGTATCTCGTTTGAATCTGGAGGTAGAACAGATGGATGTCAAAACCTCATTTCTCTATGGTGATTTGGAGGAAGAGATCTTTATGGAGCAACTAAAAGGATTTGAAGTTAAAGGAAAACATAATCTAGTCTGCAAACTGAAGAAGTGTCTCTACGGCCTGAAGTAGGCACTGAGACAATAGTACAAGAAGTTTGATTCATTCATGGTGGATCATGAGTACACAAGAACGGTAGCAGACTAGTGTGTATATTTCCGAAGGTTTTCGAATGGAAACTTCATCATCCTACTATTGTATGTCGATGATATACTGATCATCAGACATGATATTGCTATAATCAACAAGTTGAAAAAGGACTTGTCCCAGTATTTTGACATGAAGAATTTAGGCCCAGCACAACATATTTTGGGCATGAAGATTGTTCATGACAGGAAAGACAAAAATATATGGTTGTCACAAGAGAAATATGTTGAACGGGTGATTGAAAGGTTCAACATGAAAAATGCCAAGCCAGTCAGCACACCACTGGCCAACCATTTTAATGTGACAAAGCGTTCGTGTCCCACGACCAGCTCTGAAAGGAAAGAAATAGAGGCAATCCTTTATTCTTCCGCAATAGAAAGTTTGATGTATGCAATGGTGTGTACCCGTCCAGATATAGCTTACGCAGTTGGCGTTGTGAGCAAATTCCTCGCCAATCCAAGAAAGAAGTATTAGGAGGTGGTCAAATGGATTCTTCGATACTTGAAGGGAACTTCAAAGATGTGTTTATGTTTTGGAGGAGCTGAACCAATTTTGGAGGGTTTTACAGATACCGATATGACAGGTGATCCTGATGGTAAAAAGTCTACATCAGGATTTCTGTTCACTTTTGTAGGGGGAGCTGTTTCATAGCAGTCCAAACTACAAAAGTGTATTGCTTTATCTACAACAGAGGCAGAGTACATTGCTGCTGCAGATGTCGGAAAAGAAATGTTGTGATTAAAGCAGTTTCTCTAAGAATTGGGTCTACAGCAGGAAGAATGCAAGGTACACTGTGATAGTCAAAGTGCAATTAATCTGAGCAAGAATTCCATGTACCATTTATGTACAAAGCACATTGATGTCCGGTATCATTAGATATGAGAAGTGATGGAGAAGCAGCAAATGAAACTAGTGAAGATTCACACGGACAAGAATCCTTCTGATATAATGACCAAAGGTGTTACTAGAGAGAAACTGAAGTGAGAAGTTAGTTATCCATATGGGCGTGGATTGGGAGAATTGTTAGCTCCATTAGCTCCATGCCCACTATGGATAGTGGAAGAGGTTAGGTAATAGTGGCTCTCCCACGTCACCGACCCACTCACTAGTGGAATAAGCCCACTTTGTAACGCCCCGACCCTTTACATGCCATCGATATTGTCCGCTTTGGGTCACACCCGCAAGGATTTATTCTTCCCAGTGGGACACCCATTCCAGAACTACTCCAGCCTAAGCACGCTTAACTGGGGAGTTCTAATAAGGATTTCACCATCCGGGAAAAGACCTCGATGCTATATAAGGGTCCAGATTTTTACTTTTATAGCCCAGGAACTCCCTCTCCATTCCCGATGTGGGACACCGGGGCCTTACACACTCAGTAGTGGAAGTGGTAGGTCGTGACCAATTAGGCTCTCCCTCATTTGTGTATAAATGAGTTGAGGAGGAGAGGCTGAATAAGATGAAGACCGTGGAGCTGAAAATACAGAGAGTAGAGAGTGTAATCTGTGAGTGGGAGAGTTCTATAGAAAGTTGTGAGGTGTGAGTTCTGTAATTTCCCTCCGGAATAATTCTATAGTGGATATCTCTCTCCGTGGACGTAGGCAATTGCCAAACCACGTAAATATCTGTGTGTGATTGATTTCTGGAGTACCTTAATCCTAACACTTGCTGTCTAAGTTGTTCCTTTGCTCTCAATATTCAGTTGAATACTCTTGCATACATGTTCTGTTAAGAAAATTATCCAAAAAAAAATCTTATTTTGCTTTGAAATTTACCAGTGACTCTTTTCAAATTTGTCGTTATATTATTTTTCACAATTTTGTTAACAGAATATTAATAAAATTATGCTTTTTGGATTGTTTGCCATATATATTTTTCATAGTGTAATGCAACAAAATATGATGAGTTTTGTGCCAAAGTGCTTTTAATCAAAATATTATTTCTCATTTTGTTTAATGTAATTTGTTTAATTTTTAGAACTAAAAATATAATTTTAAAGTAAATTAAAAATTTTGTCTTTATATTTTAGTAAGGGTAAAATGGAAATAGAAATGTCATTAGGGAGAATTGAACTTTTTAAAAATGAATTATAAAAAATAAAAATTACTAATTATTCATATTGAAATTTGATAGAACTCACTAGTAATCTTGATAGAAAAATAAAATTTATTGGTACTTTCTTTTTGTTTGTTGCAGACACACCGATACTAATTGCAGCAAAGAATGGTATAAAGGAATTAGTTGAAAAAATTCTTGATCTATTTCCTGAGGCCATGTATGATACCAGCCCAGATGGAAAGAATGTGATGCACATAGCATTAGAAAATAGGAAAATTGAGGTTTACAAGGCCTTGACGGGTTGGACTCTCATAAAAGATTTGTTACACCATAATGATGAAAACGGAAACAATGCATTGCATCATGCTGCAACGGTTGGTAAATATCCGCCATGGAGGGCCCCAAAAGCCGTGCTTAAAATGCAATATGAAATCAAGTGGTTTGAGGTATATGTTACAAATTAACACAATATATATAATGTATATGCATTAAAATAGATTCGATTTAGAGCATGAATTTTAATGTCTACTACTGCAGTCTATCAAGGGACCTCTACCAAAAAACATGTTGGATCACCAAAATAAAGAAGGCAAGACCCCGTATCAGACATTTATGGAGACACATGAAGATCTCGTGAAAAACGACACAGATTGGCTAATGAAAACCACGGATTCTTGCACCCTCGTGGCAGCATTAATTGCAACGGTCGCCTTTGCCACCTCAGCCAGCTTGCCTGGCGGCATAAATGGAGACAACGGAGAACCAATTCTCCAACAAGATCGCATGTTTGAGGTTTTCGCCATCTCATCGCTCGTAGCGCTCTGCTTTTCACTCACTGCGGTGCTAATGTTCCTTTCCATTCTCACTTCTCGACACGAAGCCATGGATTTTCATGTTTACTTGCCCAGAAAGCTCCTGATAGGTTTGACGGCGCTTTTTATATCAATAGCTTCCATGTTGGTATCTTTTTGCGGCGGGCATTTCTTCGTCCTCAGAAAAATAGTTAAACAAGCACAGGTTGTTGAATATTTAGTGGCGTTTCTACCTGTGATGTTTTTTATCATAGCACAGTGCCCTCTCTACGTTAAGCTTTTCTGGGCTACAGTAATCAAGGACGAGCCTTAGCGTGCCTCCAAGTTAATAAATAATTTTATGTATGTTCTTGTTTCCCAGCTTCATATAAATCCTTGAGTTTCATAATGAATAATCACATCATTGTTGTGATTTAGTTCCCCATCCTTTGGAATTGGGATCCTCCCATTCATTTCGGTCCTTCATTCCCTCCTTGCAAGGCCTTCGGGCCCATTTTGAGGCCCAATTTTTATAATCCGAATCGTTCATATTTTTAAATTTATTCAGTATATCATACTTGTAAAAAATCAAGTTGATTGAATATCATAAAGTATGTGTTCGGAAAACTGTTTATTAAAAAATAGTTTGTAGTCCCAATTTTCTGAACGCATACTTTCTGATATCCGATCAACTTGATTTTTTACAGGTATAATATACTGAATAAATCTAAAAATATGAACGGTTCGGATTATCAAAACTGGGCCTCAAAGTGGATCCGAAGGCCCCTGCAAGGAGGGAATGATAAAAAGTCAAAAAGTGCACTTATTTAGTCTTCCCAAACTAGGCCTAATTTATTTGAATTATATTATTCCTTTATTTATATATATATATATATATATTAAAAAAATCAAAAAAATGACTTTTTTTTTTTTTTTTCCTTTTTCAAAAGAGACCTAACTATTGCTCATTGAGGGTTTATTAAGATAAATATAAAAACAAAAAAGGTTAATTACCTAAAATCCTATTGGGAAGGTTCATGTCTCATTAAGTCTTTTTTTTTTTTCTAGAGTCTCTGATATTAAGATTTTATAACATAAATGATATCAAATATTTTTATAACGTCTAAGGTCTCTCAACATCGATCCAGAGAAAATCTGATCTAGAGATTTTCTCTGAATTTTCAGAAAATTTACCTGGTTCTCACAAGAATTTCTTTGGGTTCAAACCAGAAAAAAGGCCTGAGATTGTGTGCTTGAGAGTTAAACAAAGTGGGTTGTTGGTAGTGGAAGAGAGGCGGTGGTGGTGGTGGTGGTGGTGATGGTTGTGGTTGTGGTTGTGGAAGAGGCGACTATGGGTGGTTGAAGATGGAGCCAAAACTGTGGTTCAAGAAAGGAGAGATTGACTCGGTTCGTAAATCATACTCTTCATCTCCACCACTTGAAGATTGCATATTTCCACAATTTCTAGAATCCATCTGCTACCAAAAAAGTGAAATGAAAGATGATATATTAAATAAATAAGAAAAAAGGGCCAAACCTGTTGAGAGATGGTTGTAGTTCCAAAAAAAGAAAAGAATTTGATAGAGAGCGTAGAGAAAATTCGTACAGTCAGAGAAAATTCACATAGTGATCATAGCTAGAGAAAATTTACAAAATTACAAACAAATCACAACTAGAGAAAATTCACATAGTTCCCACATTCAGAGAAAATTCACACAGTCTAGAGAAAATTCAATCTAATTTGCTCACACTGTATCTATGTCTATATATATAAACATATCTCAACCTCTCCTCAATTTCTTTTCAATTCCACCTTTTCTTTTCTTTCAGAAAATTTCGACACAAAGATGTGTGGTTTGATTGTTCTCAATACCGTTGATGACGATGACGACTCTCTTTTTCCTCTTTCTCTGCCGCCACATCTAGAGAAAATTCACAAAATTACATGTAGAGAATTTTTTTGGGTTCAAACTAGAAAAAATTAAAATTTCTCTAAGTTTAAACCAGAGAAATTTAGAGAAAATTGAAATTTCTCTAGTTTTGGACTAGTTTTATTTGATTTACTCACAATTTTCTCTGTATTTTGACCAAACCAGAGAAAATTGTGTTTTGACTCAACCAGAGAAAATTGATAAAAAAGTCAACACAAAGCATCACAACAAGAATTCACCATGTAAACAACACAATGAGAGTAAGAAACAGAAGGGGAAGAACAAACCCCTCGCTATCTCTCTCTCTTCCCTTCCCAATTGGACCAACCATGGAGGTTGTCGAGTTTGATTACCATTGTTTATTCTAATCACATTTATTTATATATTGTTACCCATTTTATGATGTTGTATTTTACAATTTTCACAGTTGTTCATCATTGTTTATTTGTATTGCCAACTAGTTGTGCTATAGATGCAAATAGAAAGTACCATAGACTGAAAATTCACAACAATTGAACAGTTGGGATACACATTAGCCTTAGTGAAAGCTCTTCATGTCTCTTAAACTTTTTCTCAAACACTTGGGCTGGTTGTGATGAACTTCACTGGAGCTGGATTTGTTCCCGAAGGAAGGCGCTTGGGTGAACATGTCGTTCACATCACTGTTGTTGATACAAGATCCATACATTCTCCAGAGAGTTCTAGAAAATTCTTTGTAATAGCTTCAACGCGAACGGGGATGGAATCGGTCGCAACACACTACAACAAAAAACATTTTTGGTGACATTTTTTGGCAACTAAAATAGAAATTAGTTTCCAAATGTATATAATTGGCGACCATATATTTTTTAGTCGCAAAAACTAAACTATTGGCGACAAATTAAAAATTTGGTCGCTATTGAGTTTGGCGCCAAGTGAAATTTATGGGTGGGAGCTAGGGAAAATTTTCTACGACCAAATTAATATACGGCGACAAAAAGTTTAGTCGCCAAATGTATTTTTTTGGTGACAGCCATTGCTCAGTCACGAAAAATATATACGACATTTATGGTGACTTAATTAATTCAGTCGCCAATAATTAATTTCTCAAAACTACACCGTTTTCTGTTTACTCTAATTTTTAATTGTTAGAAATAGTTGACTGTGAATAAAGAGCTAATTGACCCTTGAACTCCATCTCATTCACTTCGCTCAAGACCTCAAACAAAAAAAGGTATGTCTTCTTTTCTTCTTCTTCTTCTTCTCTCTTTCCTTTCCCTTTACCTCTCGCTCTATTTCGCCACCGACTACACTCTCTAGGAACAGCGTTGCCCCTTCATCTCTTGCATAGCCAATGGTGAGCAGCGCCGATTGTGAGCCTCTCTATGGTCGTTGCCTTCTGCCCTCTCTCTGTTGTTGTTCTTCATATTTGTTGGAGAAAATCATAGAAAATCTGGAGTAAACCATAGAAAATCTGGTTAGTATACCAGTAAAGAGAATGAGTAGGTCATAGAAAATCTAGAGTAGACCATAGATCATCTCCTTGTTTTTGAGCCAACATTGTCTTCAATTTCCTCTAAATTATGTGTCTAATTTCAGGCAGATCTGAAGATTTCAGTTTGTGTTGAATCTTTCTCTCCCTTCTCTCTCACTGAAAGATATCGAAAAGCCTCCTCTATCTCTCATTGATAAGGTAATATTGATTTTTTTTTTTAAAAAAAATTCAATTTACTCTATTATTGCGAGCTTAGATCTTTCATTCCCACTGTTGATTGATATGAATATCACTGGATGGTGCTTTCATAGTCATATGTATATGAATAATCCTTCGTAGCTTTAATTTCATTTGGCCCGAGTGGCTCGACTACCCAAAACGACGTCGTTTTGGGCAGTGGTTTTTTTTTTTCTTTTCTTCTGAAACAAATGGAGGAAGAGAGAGAAGAGAGAAGAAGAGAAAGAGAAAGAGAAAGAGAGAAGAGAGAGAAAGAGGGAACTGAGAGGAGAGAGAGGCATCAGCGTTGGCGCCATTACTGACGCTATCATCAACAAATATATGTATACACAGATAGATCTGTGTGTGTATATACAGATCTGTGTATCTGTCTTTCTCTCTGTGTGTGTATAGATCTATCTCTCTCTCTCTCTCTCTCTCTCTCTCTCTCTCTCTTTCTCTCATTCTGTTCTGAGTTGATGATGATGATGATGATGTGGTGTTGATGATGATGTTTGTTGTTGTTGATGATGATGTCTATTGTTGTTGATGATGATGATGATGATTTGTTGTTGTTGTTGTTAATGATGATGATGATGATATGCTTTCTCACACAGTCTCCTCTCATAATCCTCCTCTTCCTCCTCCTTCTTCTTCTTCTTCTTCTTCTTCTTTATCTTCATTTGCAAAGAGAAAAGGAAAAAATAAAAAAATAAAAACTGCTCAAAACGATGTCATTTTGGGCAGTTAAGCCACTAAAGCCAAATGAAATTTGAGCTACAAAATGAAACGGATGAGAGAAATTGTTGATGAGACATGTCAAAAAGGGCCCCCTCCAAAAGTGAAACAATTATTGAATCAAAGGGCATAAAAACTAGTATATATATATAGACAAATGATTCGTAACTCGAAGTTGCTGAGCTCGAATGGCTCGAAATGGTACAAATTTTCTCTCTCATCTCCTCTCCTCTCCACTCCATCTTTGTTTCCTCTCATCCTAGATCCCTCTCATCTCTGTTAAACCTTCATCTTTCTCCTCTTTCTCTCACTTCCTCCCTCTCCTATCCTCTTCACTGTCACCACACTCCCATCTTCCATCACCGCCTTGTACACTATGTTGAACCCACTCGAACCCAACACATATGCCGAAGCTTTCAACCCAGTAGTCCCCATAAAACTTGATTCAAGAGTCACAGAAGCACATTTAAACTTTCTTTGCAAAAATGCACACCTGGAAGAAGCCATAGCTGCTCTTGACTCCATTGCCCAACGCGGGTCCGAGGTAAGCTGAAGCTAGATCTTGATTTTGGGTTGGGTTTGGGTTTGATTTTGGGTTTTGATTTTGTTTTGATTTTGATTTTATGGGTTTGGTTTTGATTTTGGGATTTGATTTTGGGTTTGGTTTTGATTTGCGTTTTAATTTTGATTTTGATTTTGAAATCACAAAAAATACCAAACAGAAAATAACAGAGAAGAAGAGGAAGATTCTGAGTTTGGTTTCAAAAAGAGATGCAAATTCAATCCATTTAGGCCATAAATTGCATAAGCATATTGGTTTGTTAAGCGAGATTGATCCATTTACTGAGACTAAATTGGTTAGTATGTATGCTAAATGTAGGTATTTGGAAGATGCCAGTATGGTGTTTGATGGAATGCATGAAAGAATTCTCCTCTCTTCCTCATATTTCTCTCTCTCTCTCATCTCTCTGTTTCTCTTTCATTCTCTTAAACTAGTTTCGGAAAGAAAAAGAAAGA